CCTGGCTCACCTAACCCCCTTGTCCTTGGCTGCTGGGTCCCCAGGCCACCTTCACCCCTGTCCTGGCCTCATGAGGCCCCAGGTGACCCTGACCACTGTGTCCTGGGCTGATAGGGACCCAGGTCACCTGAAGCCATGTCCAGGGCTGACAAGGCCCCAGCTCACCTGACCCCCTTGTCCTGGGCTGCTGGGTCCCAAGGCCACCTTCACACCTATTTCCTGGCCTGAGGCCCTAGGTGACCCTGACCCCTGTGTCCTGGGCTGATGGGGACCTAGGACACCTGAACCCCTGTGTCCAGAGCTGACAAGGCCCCAGGTCAGCTGACCCCCTTATTCTGGGCTGTGGAGACCCCAGGTGACCCTGATCCCTGGTTCTGGGCTGCTGGGTCTCCAGACCAGTCTGACTCCTGTGTCCTGGGCTGATGAGGCCCTAGGCCACCCTGACCCCTGTGTCCAAGGCTGACAAGGCCCTAGGTCACCTGACCCCTGGTCCTGGCCTGATGAGGGCCGAAGTGACCCTGAGTCGTGTCCTGGGCTGATGGGGGCCCAGGTCACCCGAATTTCTGTGCCCAGGGCTGACAAGGCCCCAGGTCACCTGACCCCCTTGTCCTGGGCTGATGAGGCCCCAGGTGACCCTGACCCCTGGTCCTCAGCTGCTGATCCGGCCCCCATCCCTGTCCCTGTCCCCAGCGTCATGAGCTGACCTAGCCTGGCCCCCACTTACCTCTGGCGCTGCCCGTCCAGGCCGAGGCCGGCGGGCGCCTGCGTGGGGCTGAGCAGGCCTTGGGGCGCGGGGGTCCTGGCGGGCAGCCCGGAGGGGGGCTCCGGCGGCGGCAGCGCTGGCGGCTCGCGGGTCTCGGGGGGCGGCGGCGGGGGCTTCTCTCCGCCGGGGCCCAGGCTCGGGGGCCGCCCGTCCAGGGAGATGTTGTTAAGGAAGAAGAGCGCGGCCTGGCGGCGCCGCGAGTCCCCGCGCCTCCGCAGCGCTTGCGGCGGAGCCCGAGCGGCCGAGGGCGGCGCGGCGGCAGGCGGGGGCCCGGCGGGGCCGGGGGTCGGGCCCGGGGCTCCACCCGCCGCGGCCGCGGCCATCCTCAGACTGCGCCCGCCCCCGCGAAGCGCCCCGCCCCCTGCCCGCGCGCCCGCGCGCCCGCCGCCCATTGGCCGCGGCGCGCCCACATGCAAATATATCGCCGTCGCGCCCGCCCATTGGCCAGCGCGGTGCCGCTCTCGGGGCGCTCCCCTGGGTCCTAGAGGCCGTCAGGCGCAGCCGTTGGGAGTGGGAAGCTGCATCCCGCACTGCCGGTTCGAGTCCCCATTTCGGGAGACGCGGCCGCGGGGCTCCGGCCTTCTGTTTCCTTTGCTGGACGGCTGCCTTCGTGGTCAGCCTCCATCAAGCACGCATTTTAAGGCTCCGGACTCAGGGCGGCGTGGGCGAAACCCAGCACACTTCCCTGTCCCGAGCTGTGTCTGGGCGGTGCTTCAGCGAGCGCAGGGCGGCCCCTCAGGAGCCCCATCGCTTCCCAGAATGGCTGGCCTGCGACCTGGCCTCCTTCGCTGATGGAAGGGACAGAGGGTCTGAGTGAAGAAGGCACTTGATTGGGAAGGAAGCCTCAGGCGGGCAGAGTTCTGCACTTCCTGCAGTAGCAAAGTGACCCTGAGCCTGCCTTGTGCCCAGGCCTATTTCCTCTCTGTCCCCAGGTGCCCTTGACTTCAGAACCCATGAGCTGGCGGCGCCCAGACACTCAGGAGCTGCCTCTGGGGCCTGGGAGCCTGTCTGCATTTTGGAGGGGAACCCACTGTGTCTTTGTGGAGGGACTCAGGGCCTGACACTCACCTCCGTGCCCCCTTCCTGCTCTGTCTAGTTTTCTTTTGTGGGTTTCTGTATCTTTAAAGAGGGGAGGATGATTTCAGCCTAAGGGTATTGTCAGGATGAAACTGGCTCAGTGAGGGGGTGGGCTGTGGCTGGAGCTGGAGGGCAGGCGCGTGCCAGGGTCAGCTCGCAAATGTACTTCAGTACCGGGCACCTGCCCCACATGCCCAGTCTCTGCTGTGCTGCTGCTGGGGACTGGGTGGGGCCGACTGGCACAGCACTGGCCCCAGGAGTGCCTGGCGTGTGGGGAGGCACCATGATGGCCAACACAGCAGTGAGCAAACGGGCGAGACAGCGTCTTCATCACCAACCCCAGCTTGGGCCCCTGCCCTTCAGGCCCCTCCCCGCCTCCCACCCGCCCTGCTCCCTCCTGTGGGCCTTCATGGGCCACCACCCAGGCTCATGCAGCACACAGTCCCTCTGCTTCCTTTCTGTTTGCCCTTCCAAGTTGGCCTCCAAGGCCTCTGCCAGGCCTAGGGGACGGTGGGCAGCTGTCCTGTGCAGGAGAATTTGGGGCTGGGCCCAGGTATGGGGTGGGGAGCAGGTGTGTCTCAGCAGGCACTCCTGGGAGTGGGTTCCCAGTAAATCAAAGGACTGCACATTGATAACCCCTCTGGGGGAGTCACTGTGCTGGCTGGCATGGCAGATAGGCGGCTGCGGATTGTGGATCCACAGAACGAGGTGCTGCCTGTGTGTGTCTGGGGGCTCCCGTGAGCAGGGGCTTCAACCAGCGCTGTAAGGTGCTTAGGCTGACACAGGCACACGGCAGGCCCTCCCTCCCTCCCTCCCTCCTGGCTGTGAGCAGGAGGAGGGGCCTGACGGGAGGGTGGGCCATACACCCGTGGCTTGCAGAGAGTCTGGTGCCAGGTGAGAACAGAAAGGGGCAAGTGAGGGCGGAGGGCAGGAGGCAGGCATCAGTCAGTGCACTAGTGCCAGGCCCTGGCGGTCGCTGTGCAGGAGGGAGGGCCCTAGTGGGTTCTCCTTTGCTGCCGCTAAGCTTGACTTTGAGGGACCAGGAGAAATGCTGAGGGAGGAATGGGGTTATCGTCTGGGGCCTGGGGAACCCCCTTGCTAGGCTCCTGCGGCCGGCTTCTCCCCTCCCCAGGGTGTCAATGGGTGGCCTGCAGGTGGCGTGTGGGGAACACACAGCTTTTGTTTCATGTGATTCTGGAGAACTCAAAGCAACCTTTAACGCACCTGGACTGCCCTCTCGGGAATTCAGTCCCTCCTGCCTCTCAGGCCACAGGCTGCAGGTGGGAGCTGGGAGGCAGTGCCCCGGAGCCAGGCCCACACCCCCAGTGTGGCCCAGGCCTCACCCAGCCCTGTCATGGGCCCATGTCCTGCCATCCCTATGGCGTGTGAGTTTTAAACGCCGGGTTCACCTTGGTGCTTGGCTGCAGAGGGGCCTCCTCATCAGTTTCAGTGTGTCCTGCCGTCCCTGTGACCAGTGGGTTTTAAATGCCAGCTCACCTTGGTGCTGTGGCCGCAGAGGGCCCTGCTTGTGAGTGTTGCTCCTGATTTTCTTTGGCTCACACCATGAGCTCTGAGCAGGTATCAAGCGCAGGGCTCTGCTTGGATGCCCCTGACTGCAGGCCTGGCCCTCAGGCTGACTTCCTAGTTTCCCCTTGGCCTGGCACCCCTCCGTGGCCCCCACCTTTCCTTTCTACCCGATCCTTGTCCACTTTTCTAGAGTTGGGGTTTCAGCAAACTTCCCATAACGTCCTGGCCCCTTGCCTACTCAGCACACACCTGTTCATCTCTCAGCACCCAAATTCGCTTGCAGGTGCCACCTGCCTTGACCGCCCAGGGACACCCGCTCTCCTCCCCATCCCCCAACACTGGCCATGACCTGGTGCCGAGGCTCCTTTGCCCACCGTTCCCTGAAGGGGCAGTTCTCAAACTTCACGTTTAGGAGACAGCTACCCCTGGGAGCTTCTCTCTCACAGACTCCAGGCCCACCTCCAAGGTCCTGGTTCAGTGGTTCTGGGGTTGGGCCCAGAAATCTGTTTCCTTTTTTTTTTTTTTTTTTTTTTTTTTTTTTTTTTTTTTTTTTTTTTTTTTTTTTTTTTTTTTTTTTTTTTGAGATGGAGTTTCGCTCTTGTTACCCAGACTGGAGTGCAATGGCGCGATCTCGGCTCACCGCAACCTCTGCCTCCTGGGTTCAGGCAATTCTCCTGCCACAGCCTCCTGAGTAGCTGGGATTACAGGCACGCGCCACCATGCCCAGCTAATTTTTTGTATTTTTAGTAGAGACGGGGTTTCACCATGTTGACCAGGATGGTCTCGATCTCTTGACCTCGTGATCCACCCGCCTCGGCCTCCCAAAGTGCTGGGATTACAGGCTTGAGCCACCGCGCCCGGCCTGAAATCTGTTTCTTAAGCTCCTCCCAGGGAGCTGGGAGGCACCAAGACCCGTCGTCCCCGGAGGAGCAGACAGCCCTGAGTGCTCCCGGTGAAGTGCTGATGAGCTGCACTGTGGCTGCCAGGCAGGGTCTAGTGAGGAGGGACAGATGCACGTGCCCACCACCATTGTCAGGTGCTTCCCGGAGGGTGCCCTGGTCCCTTCCCGCTGCAGATGCCACAGAGGAGCTGGTTTCATTCTGCCCTCCCGCAAGGGGGTGACCTGGTCCCCGGTGCAGTCAGGCACCTTCTGGGGCACAGGTGGGAGGAGGCCCGGCTGACCCCAGCCCTGCCAAACACACGCTATTCTTCACGGGTTTATTCTCTGGTACTCAGGGGCCCCTGTCTTCCAGGGCTCCGCCGCCTACCACCCCTCTCCAACCTCACTGCTCGCTTGTCGGGATGCACGACGGGGGCGTCCAAGACTGTGCTTGGAGCTCGGCAGGCAGGGGTGGGGGTCTGGGTGATCCGTTGCCTCCCAGTATGGGCACTGCCTGGGAAGGGCTGCAGTGCACAGTAGGGGTGGGGCCTGAGTGATCCTGCCTCCCAGTCGGGGGGCCCCCAGGGAGCAGGTGCTGGGCTGGGGGAGGGGCCGCAGAGCATTTCCCAGGAGGGTGGAGGGGGTGAATCACCAGCCTGAGACCCCTCTTGGTCCTCCAGCCCCTCTTCTGGCCTGCTGGTTGGGTGGTGTGGTCTCTCCAGGCCGTGGTGGGGAGGTGGAGGGCCACCTCAGGGTCAGTGGGCCCGGTGCAGGCTGGCCGGGTCCCCGTCGGCTGGTCGGGTGGTGTGCCCTCTCTGGGCCGTGGTGGGCTTGCTGTGGGGCCGGTGCAGGCTGGCTGGGTCCCCTCCCAGGGGCTGTCTGCTGGTCGGGTGGTGTGGCCTCTCCAGGCCCTGCTGGGCAGGTGGAGGCCGCCCCAGCTTGCTGTGGACCCCAGTGCGGGCTGGCTAGGTCTCCTCCCAGGGGCTGCTGCCGGGGGAGGGACTGTGGTCCTCCTCCCTCGGGCTCATGGGCCCCTCAGCAGCTGTCAGTTTCCTTCTCCCTCTGGACGGCTTTTTGGAGGCTATGGGAAGTGGCTGGAGGTCAGGCCAGAGGCCAGTAGGGGCCCAGGGCAGCCCTGTATGTCTTCCTTTGAAGCGACACTCGCTCTTACCTAGGGCCTCCTGGGCCTCCTCTGGGCACAGGGAGCTGGGTGCTCCAGGGCCGGCCCTGGGGTTTCACTGGCCACCCTTGTTCCTACAGAAACCAGTGCCCAGAGCAGGAGTAGCCCATTCTGACGGTTAGCCCTGAGAAGTGGGTCACAACGCTCTCCCCATTGTGTGACCCCAAAGACAGGTGCTGACCCCAGAGGCCCCCTTGCTGCTTCTCAGAAAGCCAGGCCATGCTGGCTGGCCGGATACTGGCTGCGGCCTCAGCGGGCCTGGCCCCCGGGCTAGGGCCACAGGGGAGGGGCGCCTGGTCCCTGCGATGGTCCGGGGATAGGGGTCCTGCCAAGATGCTGGGCCCAGGCCATTTTGGAGGCACAGGGAGCTCAGGCTCTGAGCTGAATGGGTAAAGTTTGAATCCTGACCCAGATTCCAGCCCTGTGACCTCGGGCAAGTGACCTCTCCCTTCTCAGCCTCAATCTCTGCACCGGCCAAACAGTGATGATCCTGCCTGCCGGGCAGGGTCTGAGGCCACAGGCAGCAACAGCTGCACCCATTCTCCCGGAGCGACAGGCACAAGGGTGCTGGCTCTGGCCCTGAGCTGTGCCCATGCTGGGCAGGGCCCTGCTCTCACTGAGTGCCACGTGGTGTCTCAGGAGCCCCTGCCAGTGTCCCTGGCCTCGGCTCAGGTAGAAGCACACGGCGGTGGGGGGGGGTTGGCTCACAGTCTGCACCCCTAGGGCCATTTCCACATTTCCACCCACTCAGCAGGAAGTGCCTCCGATAAGGCCGTGCTGGCCTCCACTGCCTCTCCTGGCAGACGTGGACCATGCCGTCTGCAGCAACAATGGCACATGGTGGTGGCACCACCCCATCCACTGCCTGTGGGTCCTGCCCGACCAATGCCAGGGCCACACGATTAGGTGTTCACAGGCACTCATGGGTGCTCATGAGCTGGACCTGCCACTGTGCCCAGAGCAGGAAGTGAAAAGTCATCCTGATACCCTCGGACCAGGGCTGAGGCTCCTGCCCGCCTTATCAGAAGGAGCTGGGCCCAAGGACACTGCCCTTGGCAAACACTGGAGCCTTCCCTAGTTCCCGGGGGAAGCAAACATGCCCTCTGCGCTGCCCCTGTCTGCAGGTGGACAAGAGGCCTTGGGGGTCTGCCCCTTGTGGCAGGGGCTTGTCCTGTGCACCAGGATGCCCTTCCTCCCAGGACAACAGTGGGGGCAATGACCATCCCCTGCCCCCTTCTCACTGAAATCTACTATGAGCCCTAATGTCAGCTCCCTACAGGCGAGGAGACTGAGGCTCGGACTGGAGGGACCCGACACCGGGCCACAGTCCTGCACAGGCAGGACTTCCCCGGTCAGCGCCCCTCTCTTCGGGGTTCGTTTCGGGAGGTTTGAGGTTCATTTTTGGCTCCGTCATTCTGAGGCTGCCATTCTCCAGGCGGCCAGGAGGGGGTGGCAATGGGGAGAGGTGGGTGCCGCGGCTCCCCTCGCCCCATCCCTGCACCTGCCCGGTGCCTGCCCCGTGCCGTCTGTACCTTTGTCCTCAGGCTCCGAGGCCCGCTTCCTCTTCCGAGGCAGACCCTGCTTGTGCTCCTGGGCGCAGACGCACTCGGGCGTGTATGTAGTGGCCTCAGCCTGGGAGCTCAGGCCCGCC